CATTTGTCACAGAATTGGAGTGAAATCCAGGCTTACGTTTCTTGTCATCCACTTCATATCCATTGGGATGCAGCATTTGTGAAAGAATCAATTATCCATTTGTTAGTCAGAGAAGCTTTACAAATTATACATTAGCAGATTGATTTCTCAGGTTCACCGTTGGGGGACTGATAGTATAAGGTGGGTTGATGATGAGTGTCAGGGGAGAAAGAGTTGCCACAAAGAACACAATTAAAAGAAGCTTTCTGAGTGGCTGTGAATTTACTCCTAATTGAAGAGCTGACATAATCCATACTAAGTGTGTTTATTTCAAGCATTTTACATTAGGTAATTCATTATCACATGAGGTACATTGGTTGGTAGATACTTGATTTTCTTTTCCTTGAAATTTAGGATTTTGCAGAAGCCTGCGTTTAGATCTTCATGTGCAAGGTGCCTGTTAGCTTTTTCTCCCTCTCCCTAAACTTTTCTTTCTTCCATTAAGGTAACATTTTTTTGTTCTATAGTGTCAGCTTGACATTATTGATTTTTGAACAGTCAAACTTACTTATGTTGTCCAGAATTCCAAACATGTCTCCATCAGAAAGAAAACTGCAGCTAATGGAAATTCAGCTGAAGGCGTTTCTTCCTTCTTTGCCAGAACTTCCACACTTTATGAAATTTTGAAGCTGTTCCTGAGTTAATCATTTCAGTGTATTTCCTTCCCTAACTAAGAGGATCCTTCCTTTTGCCAGATTTCAATTATGTTGCTTTAGAAATACTATGTCTGTTACTATCATTTATACAGTGCTGGAAGTATCATTGTGACCACAAAGAAGTGTGTTTTTCCTTGTTTGGCCTAAAGCTAGGGTTCCTGATTAGGTTAAAAAACAATTTACCCAATGTAATGCTGACTTGAGTAATTATCAGTAATTTCCTGAACTTTTTGTATGCATCTGTCTGTCTTTTCGTGGCATGGGATTTAAGATGAAATCATCGATTAGTTGAGTAACAATTACATGGATGGTATGTTCCTAATTTTTAGATTGATACTTCGACCTCAGATTACTGTAATAATTATCAATTTATCTTTCTTCTAAATATGATGCCTGTAAATTTGGACAGGTTTTTTTCCCCACCCATTTAAAGTACCTTTAAAAGAATCAGTTGACCAAACCCCAGAGCATGTCCTGGTTCTGACTGTATCAAATGATCAGTCTTCCAGATTGGGATGAGTTACTGACTACCTGTGTCCTCTCTAACCTTGAGTGATTCTTCATCTTTTGTTGACCTGTAAAGGTGGATGTTGCAGGAAGGGCATTTATTCTCTGTACTGTAAAACCCACAATCTATTTGCTTTTACCACACAAATTAAACTCTTCAGTGGGTAGCTGGAATAAGGTTTGAAAAAAACTACAAGGGAAAGACAGTTTTAACTACATGGCTGAGTTGATAATGTTGAATAAAAAATAAAATAAAAGCAGGATGAGAGAGTGTAAGGCACAGAATTATCTGTCCTCCTCTTTTCTGAAATATTAAAATTATCCGCAGGATGTTGGCACGATAGAAATAGAACTAAACTTGAAACACTAAGTACCTTTGACTGACATAGCAGTATATTTATAAAAATAATGATATGAAAAGATGAATTGAATCTGATTCTAGAAGAAACATTTTGGTTTAGATAACACATGTACCAATTTCATCTGTGATCTTTTATTTCTGATTTCCTGCATAGTTGTAGATATAAATCTTATACAGCTTTCCAGTGGAATGTAGTTCTGAAAACAGTAGGCTCGCGTGCCACTCAACTCTGAACAAAAAGATCCTGGCATTGGCTAATCTTGCTGGAACTTTATTTTAGATTGCATTTAATATTCAGCCTTTTCTGTGTTTAAATTCATTATCACTTTCTGAGCTCCAAAGAAAGTTCTGACTCGTCAAGTCAGTGAAGAGGCTTGTAGCCAATAGCACCAATTCAACTCGAGTGCTGAAAAAAAATTGCTCTGTTTGCTTTGCCTTGTGTACATCATCTAGAATAGAGTCTCGTGTTGGAACTCAGCTGGATGTTTGTGTAAGTGAGCAGGTCTGCTTTTAGTTGAATTTATTCGTCTTTTCTGATAGACATCGGTGTATAGTGCAGACAGCAGGAAAAAAATTGGAGAAAGAAAAAGTTAAAAGCAGCTGATAGTGTTGTTGGGCATGCAGAAGGCTTGTAGCCAGTTACCAGTTATGTACAGTGTTATGAAAGACTATATCATCAAATTTCTAGTTAACAAACAGTTCTGAAGTATTGTGTGCGATTTTGAATGTGGCAAAAATGCAAATATTGTGGAATCACCTTTTCCCCTACTGACAACGTTCTACATGAGTATAAGGAGAGATTTGGCCTTGTTGGGCACTTTCTGGTTACCTGAGTGCAATCACGCATTGAATCTCCAGAGTATGCCACGTGGCTTTGAAACTGCAGCGTGTCAGATAAATTCCATCATCCTGCTCCTCGTCCTCAACTTGTATGTGAAGATGACTCACATAGTCTACCTTTCCTACTTCCTGCACTTTGTGTTTTGAGTGTCAAATTTTATCAAAGCCGTTTGGAACTATGTGGACTGCAGGATTGAGCTGTTGACTCCTCTGGTGTGTCCTGTTTGGTTTCTTTCTGTCTTGGGCTTTGTTGCAGCAGAGTGTCTCCAAGAAGGCCCGTGACACAGATGCCAGATCTGCTGTTGCTGTCTTGTCAGCCCTGGTGACAGATGTAGGTCCTGGAGAGATGAGAAGAACATGGCCAATGGAACGCTGTACCTTAGCATATGGCCCTGTGTCAAGGTGGAGCTATTCAAGATGGACTCTCTGCTTTTTCAGTCGCAGTATAATAGAAGAAGATGAGAACCTTGGTGAGAAAGTTGTGGAAATGGCAACTTAGATGGAGCCCAGAAAAAAAGCACATGGGAGTTCCATGATGGACTCAGTTGAACTTTCTGTTCTTGTCCTTTCAGAGGGCCAGAGTTGTTTCTTGTTGTAGAGGGAATGGTGGAGATGTGCTGGCATTTTTTTATCTTTTTTTTTTCCCCTAGATAGAGGCAAAGTCTTCTCTTGCACCTTGATGAGCAAACCAGAAGTTTAGAAAGGCCTTTTAAAGGTAAGGCAGGAACAAAAGTGCATGCTAGCAATTGTTATGAAGCTTCTAGAAAGTGAGACTGACAACTGACACTTCTTGCCTCGCTCAGAATCCCGGAATTAGCCAACTGTGTGTGTAGCATCTAAGAATCAGAGCTTTCTCAAGGATGTTGACCACATCAGCAGGCTGATGGGCTTGAGCTGTTCTTTTCAGCTGGCACCCCAAATGTGTGGGGAGGAACGGAGCCAGGGAATGTGCACCAGCTGCCCGCACTGCCAGGGATGCGCCTGCTTCAGAGCTTGAAACGCAGCAAGACAGCGTCACCACTCTGTGGTGAATGAAAATAACTTCTGGAGCACATAAGTCAAGGAAACTTTGTTTAACTTCTTCCTCAGCAGTGCGAACTTTTTGGCAAACATTGCACAGTGGAAATACCGTTTTGTGATGGGCAGTAGTTGTGATATTTCCGTGTAGTACTTTGTGGTGACACAAAGTGAGACCAAGAGTGGGGTCTCCTGCACACAAGGAATTGGGAAAGCAAAAGGGTGGCAGCATCCTTTCCCAACTCATCAGGCAACCGTTGCAGTGCAGGGCTCAGTTGTTCAACCTTGGTTAGAAAGAAGCTTCTAGAAAACGTAATATGATTTGGGCATATATTCTTTTCAAAGCGGAAGAGAGGAAGACTTCATTTCTCTGAGTTGGAGTTTTTTGGTGTGTGAAAGAGTATGGGGAAAAGCTTTCCAAAGGCTGCAAGAAGATGTCAGTTTGTCTCCTGTAGATAGCCCATCTGGACAGTGTGTTTTTGTATAACATTTTATGATGTACTTTTTATGTAGTTCCAACTGCCATAGTGTAGATAAGGACCTGTGATATTTCAGACACAGTTGTGTAACGTCTAATGTGACCCCACGACTCCAGCACTGTTCCAGTAACACTTTCTTTTCACACAAACATGTGATGGATTTCTCTTTTATCGTACTCAGAACCACAGAAGTGATCTGTTTTGCGGTTCAATCCATTCAAAATTTTATGAGAGTTAAGAAAAGTTGTTCTTAAATGTGTAAGAGACCTACTTGGGTGAATATCCTTCAATGAGGATTGAAATGATGAGCCACTTGTTACACAGGGTAAAATCAGGACCGTGGTACATAGGAAGGTTCTTGGGACTTTAATTGGATGGGGTTTTGTATGTGAGAGGATATGTTTCGTGTTACCCAAATGGTGTTATAAGTTAGTCCTCAGTACTTATTAAGGTAAGGATAGATGTTTAAGTTTAAACAGTAACTGATGATGTGTATCCCTG